TGTGACAAATGTCATGCTAAATGCCTCTCCCTGCAACCAAACACATATGTTCTACTCCTGCCCATCGCTGCGTAACCTATGGCAGAACTACTTGAACACTCTGTCTAACATATAGGCTAAGACTACAAATGTCTCCCCCCATATTGCCATATTCGGCTTCCCAGATAATCACTCCCAATATACCTCAAAGCAGTTAGATGTAATAGCTTTCTCTTCCCTGTTGGTGAGACGCCTCATTCTTCTTCATTGGAAGTCTGATAAACCTCCCTCTGCAACTCAGTGGCTCAAGGACACCATGTCCTTTCTACAGCTAGAGAAGATTAAATATTCGGTCAGAGGTCACTCCGATGACTTCCACGAAAGGTGGCAGCCCTTCCTAATGTATGTCAATTCTGTGTCATTATCTCTTGCTTGAGCCCGCACTCCCCCCCTTTTATTTATTTAATTTAGTTACTTATTTGTGTGTTTATTTATTTACTTTTTTCCACGTATCTTTTTATGCTTATTTACTTAAGTATTGTAACAACAATACGTCTATTCTGTATTTAGTTAATGTGTAGGATGTGTATATGTCTGTATCTTAAAGTGTTTTCTTTTCTAGGCTGAACAGCTGTGCACTCCTACATGGAGACTGTGAAGTGTTGACTTCAGCTCTAAGATCGAACTCCTCACACCTGAGAGAGCAGGACCTGAGTGACAATGATCTGGAGGATTTAGGAGTGAAGCTGCTCTCTGCTGCACTGGGGGATTTAAAATGTAAACTGGAGATACTGAGGTCAGTATTACTGGGTATTCCACACTGTAAACTGGAGATACTGAGGTCAGTATTACTGGGTATTCCACACTGTAAACTGGAGATACTGAGGTCAGTATTAGACTGCTGCCTGACCTCAGATCTGGGCTGAAACCATCAATTTATTTGTACTTTCACTGTAATTTAAGTTTCAAAACTGAATTCTAGTTGTTTCAGGCAGTGGGCAGTTTTATTGTAGTGTGGTATGAGTTTAAGGCAGGGGTCTCCAACTCCTGTCCTGGAGAGCTACTATTCAGTAGGTTTTCTATCCTACCTGGCTTCTGATGAGCCACACCTGTTTTTGGGTAAATACCAGGAGCAGGTGTGGCTCATCAGCAGCCAGGTACGATAGAAAACCTGCTGGATAGTAGCTCTCCAGTACCGGAGTTGGAGACCCCTGGTTTAAGGACATATAGGCAGCGATGGGTGACTGGACAGAAGCCTCACTGAGGCAAATGTTATTAAAAATAAAAATAACAGCAGGAAGAGGGAAGTTTTCCATATCACCAGGTGGGGAAGTGGGAGTGAAAGCAGCAAACTCCCCCTGCAGCTGTCTACAGAGGGGGCAGCTTCTGGGGAGTCTTGTATCATTGGATCCCCCATTACCCACCAGTAAAGACCCCGCGCTAGTTTTTCACCTCTGGCTGTGTGATCCAATAGACCATCTCGTCGATCAGCTGGAGGTATTCTTCCTCAGTGAGGGGAGGTGTTTGTGTGGCGAGTCCGGTCATTCTGTCACGCTTGACGGCGCATGGAACGCAGACAAAAGCGCAGAATGGCAGGAATCGGGGAACACGGGGTTTAATCACAAGAAAGGCAAGCAAAAACAGACTGACAATACAATGACCGGACTGGGGAAACAAACGGAAACGCGGACTAAATGCAATGGACTAATGACAACAATCAGGAACAGCTGGTAAACATGGGGAATCCACAAAGGGTTAAGGAGGGGGCGTGGCACACGGAAGGAGCGGACGATCGGGGCATGACACCCATGGTGCGCTGTGAGCGGGTATACAGGCCCACATAGCATGTAGATAATCATCTGTGACACCCATGGTGCACCGTGAGCGGGTATACAGGCACACATAGCATGCAGATAATCATCTGTGACACCCATGGTGCACCGTGAGCGGGTATACAGGCACACATAGCATGCAGATAATCATCTGTGACACCCATGGTGCACCGTGAGCGGGTATACAGGC